AAAAGAAGACCAGTGTGGCTGGAGCATGGATGGAAAGAGATAGAGAGAGAATGGCACAGGGTGGAATTGGAGAGATGAGCAGGGGTCAAATCATGCAGAGCCTTGTAGGGCAATGTAAGGAATTATGGTTTTTTCCTAACTCCAACGAGAGGCCAGTGGAATGTCATTCCATTCAAATGATGGAATGACATTATCTGATTTAGGTCTTAAAGATGATTCTAGGGAATTCCCAACAAAGGATGGCAGATTAGATTATTTCTTCAACCTTGGGACATCACTAAGAACAATCAAACAGAACAAATAGAGAAAGGGTAAAAAGCCATGTTTAATGAAACTGATACAACCCTAAGCTACAAATCACAAAAGGCATCTGCCGAATGCATTTCTGCAGGGAGCTAAGCAAGGACATTCAATGACAGCAGAACATGCCACCAAGCCCTTGGTGGAGAGCCCTGTGAAATGAACCTACCTATTTGAGGTTGAGAAGAGGCTAAGGGAGAGGTCTCCCTGAGGAGACCGACTTTGACACTCCAAGATAGCAAGGAAGGGGGAGCTTAAGAAGAAACCGTGCTGGCGTGACATTCTTATTGCCTTGTCAGGAACACCACCAGAGGTGAACTGGGATAAAGCAGGAGAGGAGACAGAGAGTGTCAGACCACATTCCACCAAGTTTTGCTGTGATTCAACCTGGGGAAGCTGATTGGAAAAAAAAGAAAGGAAAGTTTTGCTGTCCATCCTGGCCAACATGGTGAGACCCCATCTCTACTAAACAAACAAACAAAAAAAAAGTACAAAAAATTAGCCGACCGTGGTGGCAGACACCTGTAGTCCCAGCTACTAGGGCGGCTGAGGCAAGAGAATGGCATGAACCTGGGAGGCAGAGCTTACAGTGAGCCGAGATCATGCCACTGCACTCCAGCCTGGGCAACAGAGTGAGACTCCATCTCAAGAAAAAAAAAAAATTGTAGATGACACAAACAAATGAAAAGACATCCCATGCTCATGGATTTGAAGGATCAATGTCATTAAAATGACCATACTGCCCAAAGCAATCTACATATTCAACACAGTTCCTATCAAATTACAAACATCATTTTTCACAGAATTTGAAAAAACTATTCTATAATTCATATGGAACTAAGAAAGAACCCAAATGGCCAAAGCAATTCTAAGTAAAAAGAATAAAGCTGGAGGTATCATATTACCTGACTTCAAGTTATACTACAAGACTATAGTAACCAAATTAGCATGGTACTAGTATAAAAACAGATACATAGATCAAAGGAACAGAATAGAGAACCCAGAAATAAAGCCACATAGCTACTCAACTGATCTTTGACAAAGCTGACAAAAATATACACCAGGGAAAGGACACCCAATTGAATAAATGGTTCTGAGAAAATTGGATAGTCACAGGCAGAAGAATGAAACTAGACCCACATATCTCACTGTATACAAACATTAACTCAACATGGATTAAAGACTTAAATGTGAGATCTCAAACTATAAAAATCTTTGAAGAAAACCTAGGAAAAAACTCTCCTGGAAATTGGCCTAAATTAGCATTTATGACTAAGTCCTCAAAAGCAAATGCAACAAAAACAAAAAAAGATAAATGGGATTTAATTAAACTAAAACGTTTCTTCACAGCAAAAGAAATAATCAACAGAGTAAACAGACAACCTACAGAATGGAAGAAAATGTTGGCAACCTATGCATCTGACAAAGAGCTAATATCCAGAATCTACAAGGAACTCAAACAACTTAAGGAAAAAAATCAGCTCATTAAAAAGTGAGCAAAGGACACAGACAGATATTTTTCAAAAGACGACATGCTAGCAACCAAAAACCATGAAAAATGCTCAACATTACTAATCATCAGAGAAATGCAAATTAAAATCTGGGTGACAGAGGGAGACTCTGTCTCAAAAAAAAAAAAAAAAAGAAAGAAAGAAAGAAAAAGAAAAGTTTTGCTGTGAAACAACCCTATCTGCCAAAAACCAAAAATGAAGAAAACATGTGTTCCCCATCCCCCACTGCCAAGTACCACAAAAGCCCACTACACTTCCACTCCACTCTACCACACCATCCTTCAGCTGATAACTAGCCCCATTCAAAGTGAATAACAATTAGAAAGGAATTAACTTGGGAACTTTGCTTTTAAATGCTCTTTTAAAAATGAGAGAAATGGGGCAGGTGCGGTGGCTCATGCCTGTAATCCCAGCACTTTGGGAGACCAAAGCAGGAGGATGGCTGGAGCTTGGGAGGTCAAGGATGCAGGGAGCCATGACTGTACCACTGCACTCCAGCCTGGGCCACAGAGCAAGACCCTGTCTTTAAAAAAAATAAGAGAGAGATAAATGGAGGAAAGAAACATAAGCAGCAAAAAATGAAGTATAACTATCAATATACCCAAATAAACTCAGGAAGAATTCTGACAAATATTTCTCCATAATCTAAAGGAAAAAAAAAACTCATATAACATGACTTCTTCTTTAAAGAATAATTTTTTAAGAAACTCCTAGATTTGAGCAATCCTTCCTCCTCAGCTTCCAAAAGTGCTGTGATTACAGGCATGAGCCACCGCACCCCACCTTAAAAATAATTTTTAAAATGAAATACAAAGCTTCAGAGAAAAGATTATATAGCAAAAGAAGGTGAAGAAGGGAAAATTGGCAGATTTTAGAAAAGAAATAAAAGGGAAAAAGTAAAACATTTCAAAGTTGAAGGCCATAGGTTTTTTTTTTCTTTTTTCTATTTCCTGGCTTCTACAACTGAGAAGGTCATTTTTTTTTTTTTTTTTTTTTTTTTTTTTTTGAGACAGAGTCTCACTCTGTCACCCAGGCTGGGGTGCAGTGGCTTGATCTCGGCTCACGGCAATCTCCACCTGCCCAGTTCAAGCAATTCTTCTGCCTCAGCCTCCCAAGTAGCTGGGATCACAGGCACGCACCACTACGCCCACCTAATTTTTGTATTTTTAATAGAGTTGGGGTTTCACCATGTTGGCCAGGCTGGTCTCAAACTCCTGACCTCAGGTGATCCGCTCACCTCGGCCTCCCAAAGTGCTGGGATTACAGGAGTGAGCCACCATGCCCGGCTAATTTTTGTATATTTTTTTTTGTAGAGACAGAGTTTCATCATGTTGCCCAGGCTGGCCTCGAATTCCCGGCTCAAGTGCACCACCCACCTTGACCTCTCAAAGTGCTGGGATTATAGGTGTGAGCCACTGTCCCCAGTCAGGCACATCATGTCCTAAGAAAAGAAAATGATCCAGACTTATCAAAGCCAAGACATATTGTGATGAAGTTATTGTATTAAGGAAAAATAGCTAGACTTCCATTTCTATCAGTTATTTTTCTTTTCTTTCTTTCTTTTTTTTTTTTTTTTTAATTTTCAGCAGGGGCTTCTGCGATAGAATCTATCTGGTTAAAACATAACAGTGCTTTTTTTTTTTTTATTTCATAGCTAAGTTCATATTAAAGTAAAGAAAACCCTTCTAGGCCCAAAGCGAAGGGGAAACTAAAAACCAATTAAGCGCAAGTTAATGCTACAGCTGTTCTTGGGAAGGGAGGGTTTCTAATCTCAGAATACAAGGGGCTTTGGTTTCCAAGGACCAATCATGAAGAGATGGGTCCTCATATCTGCAAGTATCTGGGAATCTGAAAGCCACCTTACATGAAGCAAGGTCCCCCAAAGACCTTGCAAGAATGGTCTGAAAGAAAAACCTCTCATGAACAAAATGAGATTTCAAGGAAGCTTGTTTGTCTTCGCCTGGGCTTTGGATGGAGGAAGTTTTCTTAGAGAAATTTTAACCTTGGGCCTGTCTTCATGCAGATTTGGGATTTTAGTTTACATGGCTGGCATGGTTCAGAAAACCCCCAAGCCAAGAAATCAGCATAAAAAGTAATGCTAAACTGATTTTGGCCTTGGGGCACTTGGGAAAAGCAAAAGCAAAATTACTTTGAAGACTTATACTCTTAAACCAGATTAACCAGGATTCCCCCAGCTAAAGCTGAGGTTGATGTTTTTTAAATTAGATAAAATAGGCAACTTTGCAGGAAAAAAAATTATATGTATATGAAAATTTTATATATATGTAAATTATATACGTAAAACTGACCAACATTGACTAAGAAGGAGAAAATCTGAAGACCTATAATCATTAAAGAAATTGATTAGTAGTATAAATCTACCTAACAAAGAAAAAATTGATGGTTTTCATAGACAAGTTTACCAAATAAGAAAAAAGAAATCTCATACAAACTTAAATTTCCAGAAAATAGAAAAAGGAAATACTGCCCAACTGACTTTATATGGCAGATATAAAATAACCTTTATGGTAGAGACTGTTAGTTGTCCTATTACCTATTCTCCCCTTGTCTTTCACAGCAAAAGAACCTTTGCTTTTAAATTCAAATAAAGGTCACACTTCCTTGCTGCTGGGTGTAGCCATATGACTAAGTTCTGGCCAAGAGAAGTAGAAACGGTGTATGCAACTTTTGATTCATGCTCAAAAGTCAGAGTGTAATGCCCAGACCCTCTGTTCCCCAAAGAAGACCACCAGAGTCCAGAGTCAAAGCCAAGCGGCAAGCATCTTTATGACAAGTTCAAACTTGGTCCCTCCATTACTCAGCATACAAGAGGGCCCCGAACAATGCAAGTGTTTGCTTTTTATAGCCCGAAAGTTACAGGGGAACAAAGGAATTCTTTTGGTTCCCGCGCTTTCAGTAAAACTTTGAACGGCTGTCTCCTTATCGGAGACTTTCTAGGTGGTGTTTGTACTGGGCCCAGGAAGTTTGAGAGATATGTGGCGATATGTGGTGAGATGGGAGGATGGGATGTGTTTGTACTGGGCTCAGGAAGTTTGAGAGATATGTGGCGATATGTGGTGAGATAGGAGGATGGGGTGTGTTTGTACTGGGCTTGTTTGTTTTGAGCCCGGGGCTGAGGAATGTGCCCGGCTCCTCTCATTCCCCCCTTCTTTTCAGGTATCTCTAGAGCCAATCTTGGGTCTTACAAGTCTGATTCTGTTTCAGCGTCTACAGGTTGGTATTGGGCTCTGAGGACCATGAGTTGTACAGTGTCAAACCTTTCTCTAACGAACCGCAAAATTCTGTTAACAACACAAGGTCCTACGGTAAGCAGAAATAGAAGACTCAGCAGGGGTCCAAGGAAGGGGGCTAACAGAGAAAACATAGATGAGTTCCACCATTGGTCTGCAGCTGAAGCAAACTGCCGTGTTCTTACTTCTGTGCTTAACTTGCGTTAACTGTTGGACCCGGTCCTCCACAAGTCCTGATTCATTTATGTAGAAACAACAGTCTTCCTTTAGGAACATACACGTACCCCCTTTTTCAGCAGTGAGTAGGTCTAAGGCCCTCCGGTTCTGTAAGGTTACCTGTGCTAGGGACGTGAGCTGCCACTGGAGGGAGGCAAGGGACTCAGCTGACTCCTCCATAGCAATGGCAAATTGTTGGTACAGCTTGTTACTTTCTATGAGGGTGTGACCTAAGGCTCCCCCCGCCAGTCCGGCTGCCATGAAGGATGCGGTGAGGGAGATTCCTGCAATGAGGGGGAGAAATATGGCTCGTGCAGGTCTCGGTCTAGGGACTGGGTGAATAACAGCACTGGTCCAGTTACCGGTATACCCTAGGAACTCTCCGGCAGTGAGTAGAGTCAACCGGGGAACTAATGTGACAGGAAGACACAGTAGGTTGGTAACAGAGGGGCTTGATAGGTTTTTAGATAATGTTCCATTACACCAGAAGAATATGCCTGACGGAGCCCTTAAGGTGATATTAGGGGGCGATGCAGTGATGTTGCAGAGGCTGGAATTAGTTCCTGAGAAACAGTAGGGAAACTTTTCTTGACTGGGGTTTAGGTATAGTGGCACGTTAGGGATAGGGGCATATGAGAGGTTTCGGTGGTTGTCAGTTAGGGCGGAGGTAGAGGATCCCCATAGCAGGGGGACAGCGGTTAGCGGTGGACGCCCTAGAGTGGCACACAGAAAGCAGCCAGACAGGCTGTGAAGTCCTGTAAGGTTAGCAAGTTCTAATCCTTCTTGCAATAATTTTAACCAGGAAAAAGGACGTAAATCTTGTGTCAGGCGGTTTTCTTGTCGCTGGATATTTCCATGGACCAGGGGCCGTACCTGCACTAGACCCCGCCACAGATAGAGGTGACTGCTAGGCCATGTGGAGGCGGAGGAGTAGTATACAGGCCCGTGTTGAGGCGTGGTCCAGCGGGAGTTCCAGGGGTCTCTAACTATCCATGTATATGAAAGGTCTCCATCTCGTCTACGATGGAAGGGCCATCTGGGATCTATCTGTTCTTTTTCACCCCACCATTGGTATTTATGGACGATACAATAGTTATAAGGGCAGCCGGCACTTTGGTGCCACCAATAGTGCTTACAATTGTATTGAGTCTGATCATACTCGAAGCATATCATTGGTGCCACTGGTTTGGCTATTGGGAAATCGGTAAAATTTAGTAAAATTGGGCTATTGCACCCTGTGGAGGGGCAATCTGCACTGGCCACTAATTTCCCGGGCTTATGAGGTTGCCCAGGGTGGGTTTGGTTTTCATAAAGCCAGAATCTCCAGACAAAGGGGTTAGGAGCTGGCTTTATGTTTTCTCCAGCGGTCACTAGGGCGACTAACGTTAGAGTCAGACTACCTAACTGCATGTTTGCAGTGAGCTATGCTGTCGGCGCAGGGTGAGTTTTAAGGGGTTGTTCTTAGCTCTGTCCACAGTCCACGTGTCCAGTGCTTCAGCCGCCGCCGTGATTGGTCCCAGGAGGTTGGAGGTTGGGTCCACCGGCTTGACGTGGGTGTAGTGGATCCACGACGCGATGCCTTCTACCTTTAGGGCGGTGGGTGTGGTTAGGAGTACCTGGAGTGGTCCTTTCCACCTGGGTTCTAGGGTCTCTTGTCGGTGTCGCTTGACCAGGACCCAGTCTCCCGGCTGGTACGGATGGGGTGTCGGCGGGGGACCGGTCTCATATAGTTCCTTCAGCTTGGGCCAGATTTCTTGATGAATTTTCTGCAAGGCTTGTAAGGAAAACAAGAGTTCAGAGACATTTTCTGTTTCAGACTTGAGCAGATCATCTTTTAGGCTGGGAACTAGGGGTGGGGGTCTACTATACATGATTTCATAAGGGGTAAGGCCCAGTCTGTAAGGGGTATTACGGGCCCGGAACAGAGCGTAGGGGAGAAGGACTACCCAATTAGCGCCAGTCTCCATAGTCAATTTAGTTAAGGTCTCTTTTAAGGTCCGATTCATCCTTTCTACCTGTCCTGAACTCTGGGGCCTGTAAGCGCAATGGAGTTTCCAATTTGCCCCAAGGATGGAAGCCAAATCCTGACTTACCTTAGCGACGAAAGCGGGCCCGTTATCTGACCCTATCTGGACGGGGAAGCCATACCTGGGAAGGATATCTTCCAGAATTTTCTTTGCTACGACCTGAGCAGTTTCTCTTTTGGTTGGGAATGCTTCAGTCCACCCTGAAAAAGTATCTACAAAGACAAGTAAGTACCGGTACCCGTACTTTCCTGGCTTTATTTCAGTAAAATCTACTTCCCAGTAGATACCAGGCCTGGTTCCCCTGAGCCTTGTTCCTGTTGCAGCTTGAGATTGGGGGTATGCGTTGTTAAGCTGGCAGACTTTGCAACTTGTCACGATACTGCTGGCCGTCTCAGCTATATGTCTGATTTTGAGCTTGGAGCGTCCGATCAGGTCTATCATCCGCCGGGCCCCCAGGTGGGTGGTTCGGTGGATGTGTTCTAACACCTGTTGTCCTAATTTTTCTGGTAGGATGGTTTGGTCATTAGTATCAGTCCACCACCCATTCTGGACTTGTTTCAGGGGAAGTTTGTCTATCCACTGGAGATCTTGTTCTGAATACTCAGGGAAATATGGCAAGTCCCGGGGGCCCGGGTCAGGGAGCTGGAGTGTAAGGAGTTGGCTGGGAGCCTTTGCCACATTCCTTGCAGTTTGGTCTGCCAGAAAGTTGCCTTGAGCAGTTGGAGTAGTTGGTTTCTGGTGCCCTGGGCAATGCACAATGGCTAACTTTTCTGGCCTCCATAGGGCTGTTAGCAGGGCTAGGATCTCTTGCTTGTTTTTTATCTCTTTTCCTTCAGCCGTCAGTAACCCTCGCTCCCTGTAAATGGCCCCATGTATATGCGCCGTTGCAAAAGCATATCGGCTGTCTGTATATACTGTCAGCTTCTTCCCCACCCCTAAGGTAAGAGCTTGGGTGAGCGCTATCAGTTCTGCCTTCTGGGCCGATGTCCCCGGGGGCAGGGGTTCCGCCCAGATTACCTCAGTCTCTGAAGTCACTGCCGCTCCAGCGTACCTCTGGCCTTGATGCATGAAGCTGCTCCCATCAGTGAACCAGACGAGGTCGGCGTCAGGAAGTGGGCGGTCCTGCAGGTCTTCTCGAACTCCGTGCACCTGAGCTAGTCTCTCGGTGCAGTCATGGAGTGGGGCGTCCAGGTCCGGGTTGGGCAGCAGTGAGGCAGGGTTTAAGGTCGTTGGGGGCAGGAAAGTTATCCTGAGAGGATTTAGTAGTAGTCCTTGGTAGTGGGTGAGCCGGGCGTTACTCATCCATCGATTAGGTGGCTGTTTGAGTACACCTTCGATGGCATGTGGAGTAACGACCCGCAATTCTTGTCCCATGACAAGTTTATCAGCATCTTGCACCATCAGAGCCGTGGCCGCAATCATTCGGAGACAAGGGGGCCACCCGGCAGCCACTGGGTCTAACTTCTTTGACAGGTAGGCAACTGGCCTCCGCCAGGGGCCTAAGTTCTGAGTTAGTACCGCCTTGGCGACACCCGTATTCTCGTCCACATATAGGTGGAAGGGCTTGGTAACATCAGGTAGCCCCAGTGCAGGCGCAGAGAGTAAGGCGGTTTTAATCTGTTGGAAAGCCGACTCGGCTTTGTCTGTCCAATTAAATGGCTGCTGCCCCCGGGTTGCCTGATACAAGGGTTTAGCCAGTTCTGAGAACCCAGGTATCCATAGTCTGCAAAATCCCGCCGACCCCAGGAATTCCCTCACTTGTCGGGTGGATTGTGGCCTAGGGATCTGCAGAACAGTTTGTTTCCGGGCGTCTGTTAACCAGCGCTGCCCTTCTTTAAGCAGGTACCCTAGATATGTTACCTCTGGCTTACAGATTTGGGCTTTCTTTGCCGAGGCTCGGTAGCCCAGATTCTCCAGAGCTTGTAAGAGACCCTTGGTCCCTTGGATGCAAGCTTCTTGGGTCTCAGCAGCGATTAGGAGGACATCAACATACTGCAGTAAAGTTATTTCAGGGTGTTTGCGTCGGTACTCACCCAGGTCTTCATGGAGGGCCTCATCGAACAGGGTAGGAGAGTTTTTAAATCCCTGCGGCAGCCTGGTCCATGTCAATTGGCCACTTATGCCTCTATCAGGGTCATTCCACTAGAAGGCGAAGAGCTTTTGGCTCCGAGGGGCTAAAGGCAAACTGAAGAAAGCATCTTTCAAATCTAAAACAGTGTACCATTGATGTTTAGGGTTTAAGGTACTCAGGAGGGTATACGGGTTAGGCACAGTTGGATGTATGTCCACAACCCTCTTATTGATTTCTCTTAAGTCTTGTACAGGTCTGTATTCTCCACTATTAGGTTTTCGTACCGGCAACAATGGAGTATTCCAGGGCGAGTGACATGGGCGAAGGACCCCTTGGTCAAGGAGCCGGTGGATATGCGGGGCAATTCCTTTCTTGGCCTCTAGGGGCATCGGGTATTGGCGTACCCGCACGGGGTCTGTCCCAGGCTTAAGTTCAACAAACAAGGCAGGACGGTGTTTTGCTAGTCCTAAGCCCCCCGTTTCCGCCCAAGCTTCTGGATATTGCTGGAGCCAGGCTGCTATGTCCTGGTCAGGGGCCGCTCGCTCCTGGTGGAGCTGGTACTCATCTTCTAGGGTTATAGTCAGGACAGACACGGGCCGATTGTGGGAGATGGTCACGACCGGCCCTTCAGGGAGGAAATGGATCTGTGCTCCCATTTTAGTTAGCAGGTCTCTCCCTAATAAGGGACAGGGGCTCTCAGGGATGACCAGGAAAGAATGGGTTACATTCTTGGCTCCGAGGTTTACTGTCCTTTGTGTTGTCCATGGGTATTTCTTAACTCCTGTGGCCCCTTGTACCCACGAGGACTTGGAGGATAATTTCCCATTGGTTTTAACTAAGACTGAGTGCTGTGCTCCTGTATCGACCAAGAACTGGACTGGGGACCCCTCCACTTGCAAAGTTACCCTAGGTTCAGGGAGGGGATCCGAACCCCGTCTTCCCTAGCCTTCATCTTGAGTGACTAGTACGGGTGTAGACCTAGGGGGTCCCTGTCCTCGTTGTTTCTTTTTGGGGCAGTCTCTTACCCAGTGGCCAGCCTCCTTGCAGTAGGCACATTGGTCTTTTCTCAGATTATCATGCCTGGGGGGCCGCCTAGGTTGGGTGTACTCTGGCTGTAGATGCTCTTTCTGTACCACTGCTGCCAGGATTTTGGTCATTTTTTCAGTGACCTTAAATTGACTTTCCTCTGGAGTATCTCTGTTATTGTAAACCCGCTGGGCTATCTGAAGGAGGTCTTGAATCTGCTTTCCTTCCAAGTCTTCTAATTTTTGGAGTTTTCGTTTAATATCTGGGGCTGCCTGATTTACGAAAGACATTACAACAGCTGCCTGACTTCCTGGAGCCTCTGGATCTATGGGGGTGTACTGTCTAAAAGCTTCCATTAATCTTTCTAAGTAGGTGGCTGGGCTCTCTGTCTTTCCCTGCAGAATAGAGTATACTTTAGCCAAATTAGTGGGCTTGTGAGCAGCTGCCCGGAGACCTGCCATTAGAGTCTGGCGATAAAGGTGTAGCCGTCCCCTACCTTCTGCCGTGTTGTAGTTCCACGCTGGCCTGGTCAGAGGAAAGGTCGCGTTTATGAGGTCGGGGTTGGCAGTCGGTTGACCGTCGTCCCCTGGGACCAGCTTTCTAGCTTCTACCTGTATTCTCTCTCACTCTTCCATGGTAAACAAGATTCGGAGGAGCTGCTGGCAATCATCCCAAGTGGGCTGGTGGGTGAACATGACACTATCCAGTAAAGCCAGTAAATCTTTGGGGTTGTCTGAAAACCGAGCACTCTGAGTCTTCCAGTTATACAGATCACTGGTGGAGAATGGCCAGTACTGGAGCCTGGGGATTCCTGTGTCATCTGGGGGTCCTATTTCCCGAAGGGGTAAAGCCACCGTGGAGTCAGGTGGCTGGGGGGGGCTAGCCTGTGAAGTGCACCCTCGCGTCCGCCCCGCTGGCCCTTCAAAGTTACCTTCCCTGTCAGCGGGCCCGTGTGTGCCGGCCGCCTCCCCTCCGCCTGCTCCCTCCCGCGACTCAGCCCAGGGGGTCGGGGCCTGGAGCCCGGAGGGGTACAGAGGGGGTTCTGTGAACAATGGGTCCCCGCTATCAGGTAGAACAGGATGGGGGGGGCAGTTGGTTGCTTGGATTTTAGTGGTCGAGCAACCAGTGCCTTACAGGGTTCAGAGGCTAATTGGAAAGGGGACAGCCAAGGAGGCGGGTTCTCAACAAGGTCCTGCCATATGAGAATATATGGGATTTGATCTAAGTGGCCCGCACGCCCAGGTAGGAAAATCTTGGACTTTACCCTAGTGATGACCACAGGTTGGAAGGTCCCTTCGGGTGGCCACCCTACATCAAAGGCGGGCCATTCGGAGCGACACAGAGTAATTAGCTTTCCTTTCCTGATTTCCATACCAAGATCATGGCCCCTTGCTCTTACTTCTTTGAAATTATTTGTAAAGAGAGATAGGGGAGTGCTCTGGGTATTACCCATCCTGTAATAATTTGTAGTCTCTTCCTGTAAAGGAATGTGTGTTTGAATCCCTGCAAAGGAAATCTGATCTGACTTGTTAATGATATTTAGTACCGCAGACCGGCGCTCAGGGCAGTTCAGGTCAGAGACAGCTACTGCCCAAACCCCAAACGCGCTCGGGGCAGTTCAGATCAGAGACAGCTACTGCCCAAACTGCAAACGCGCTCGGGGCAGTTCAGATCAGAGACAGCTACTGCCCAAACCCCAAACCAGCGCTCGGGGCAGTGCAGATCAGAGACAGCTACTGCCCAAACTGCAAACACGCTCGGGGCAGTGCAGATCAGAGGCAGCTACTGCCCAAGCCCCAAACCGGCGCTCGGGGCAGTGCAGATCAGAGACAGCTACTGCCCAAACTGCAAACGTGCTCGGGGAAGTTCAGATCAGAGACAGCTACTGCCCAAACCGCAAACGCACTAGGGGCAGTTCAGATCAGAGACAGCTACTGCCCAAGCCCCAAACCGGCGCTCGGGGCAGTGCAGATCAGAGACAGCTACTGCCCAAACCGCAAACGCACTTGGGGCAGTTCAGATCAGAGACAGCTACTGCCCAAACCGCAAACGCGCTCAGGGCAGTTCAGATCAGAGACAGCTACTGCCCAAACCGCAAACGCGCTCGGGGCAGTTCAGATCAGAGACAGCTACTGCCCAAACTGCAAACGCACTCGGGGCAGTTCAGATCAGAGACAGCTACTGCCCAAGCCCCAAACCAGCGCTCGGGGCAGTGCAGATCAGACGAGAGCCAGGGGACGTCTCCCACCGGTCTCCGCTGGCCGTTCTATAGTGCATCCGCCAGGACTGTGCCAGCTCCAGTTTCAGACCTCGCGAGTCACAGATTCAGATTCAGAACAGACACAGACAGACAAATTCAGATTCAGAACAGACACAGACAGACAAATTCAGATTCAGAACAGACACAGACAGACAAACGGAGATGAGCCAGCTCACCTATCAGTAGATCGATCCTAGCAGATCCGTTGACGAGGGGTCTGGTGGGCTGGGGGAATCCCGGACGAGCCCCCAGATGTAATGCCCAGACCCTCTGTTCCCCAAAGAAGACCACCAGAGTCCAGAGTCAAAGCCAAGCGGCAAGGATCTTTATGACAAATTCAAACTTGGTCCCTCCATTACTCAGCATACAAGAGGGCCCCAAACAATGCGAGTGTTTGCTTTTTATAGCCCGAAAGTTACAGGGGAACAAAGGAATTCTTTTGGTTCCCGCGCTTTCAGTAAAACTTTGAACGGCTGTCTCCTTATCGGAGACTTTCTAGGTGGTGTTTGTACTGGGCCCAGGAAGTTTGAGAGATATGTGGCAATATGTGGTGAGATGGGAGGATGGGATGTGTTTGTACTGGGCTCAGGAAGTTTGAGAGATATGTGGCGATATGTGGTGAGATGGGAGGATGGGGTGTGTTTGTACTGGGCTTGTTTGTTTTGAGCCCAGGGCTGAGGAATGTGCCCGGCTCCTCTCAAGAGGCATGCCCTTTCCTCACCCTGCCACTTATAAAGTAGATGAGCTATTTGGACCGTATGAACTAGGGGTGGTTAAGCAGAACCACCAAACCAGCCCTGGACCACCAACCTCCAGATAATACAGGACAGAAAAAAAAACTTGCCTCTCATTCACATCACCACTGTTTTTGGTATCCATTACATACAGCCAAATCCATGTACCAAGTAGATCATCCTACATAGCAGCACCAGAAATGTATCGCATGAGAAAGGAAAATTGAGAGCCAATCTCAGTTATGATTATAGATGCAAAATCCTAAATAAACTGCTAATAAATGGAATCAAGTATTATACTTAAGAAAAATTATGACTAAGTTGGGTTTATGCCATGATTGCAGGGATGACTTTAACATTAGCAAATACATTAATGTAAGTCACCACATTAAGAGATTAAAAATTAAAACCATATGATGCTAGAATAAATTTAATACCCATTTATAATAATAATGCTTAATAATCTAGGAATAGAAAGGAACATCTTGACCATCTAGCAAAAAAAAAAAAAAAAGACATCTAGCAAAAACCTACTGCAATCTTACTCTTTTTTTTTTTTTTAATTGGGTTTCACCATGTTGCCCTCACTGGTCTTGAACTCCTGAGCTCAAAGGATCCACCTACCTGGCTTCCCAAAGTGCTGGAATGATAGCCGTGAGCCACCACACCCAGCCTGCAATCTTATTCTTAACAGTAAATGAATGAACAGTAAATGCTTTGAAAGTGTTCCTGTTAAAGTCAAACACAAAGAAAGGATTCTTGCTATTATCACTTTATTCAACATTAATTTGAAGGTTCTGACCATTACACTAAGGAAAACATTTTTTTAAGGTCTAAGGATTGGAAAAAACAAAGATATGATACAATTGCCTCCATAGAAGAAACAAGCAGGGCAATGCACAAGGCCTATCAGGATAAAAAGCTGATGCAAGTAAGTCAGGGGCTGACCTGAGGCAACAAGCTTCCTCTCACTGCAAGTCCACAGAGCTGGAGGTTTAAATCCAGGGAGACTGCCTTTTCCCAGAGCTGCTTTTTAAATTAAAGCTTAAAGGCAAATTCCCATCCAGGATGTTGCCCGGTGGAATGACAGCAAACAAAATGGTGACACTAGTTCTGCGGTGCCTTTGGCTGTCCACACTGAGGATTCTCCCCAATACCTCCCATGCAGTAGCTGAGAACAACCCCCACTCCAGCCCAGGAAACACAGGCTCACAAGCCAAAATCACCAGAACCTGAGATGTACAGAAACTGTAACAAAATACCCCCCAGAAAGACCAACACAAACCATTTGAAGCAAAGTTATTGAAATTGGTGGACCAAAAAGTTAAATTAAGGTAATAAATATCCTCAAAAAGATAAAGGAGAGATTAGTGGTAGAAATAAAAACAAGAAGTCATAAAAAAGAGAACTGGCCAGGCGGGGTGGCTCTCGCCTGTAATCCCAGCACTGTGGGAGGCCCAGGCGGGCAGATCACGAGGTCAGGAGATCGAGACAATCCTGGCCAACATTGTGAAACCCCGCCTCTACAAAGAATACAAAAATTAGCTGGGTGTGGTGGTGTGCACTTGTAGTCCCAGCTACTCAGGAGGCTGAGGCAGGAGAAATGCTTGAACCCAGGAGAGGTTGCAGTGGGCCAAGATCGTGCCACTGCACTCCAGCCTGGGTGACAGAGTGAGAATTCATCTCAAAAAAATAATAATAAAATAAAATAAAGAGCATAATAATTGGGAAAAATAAAAGATGGCTACAACTGGAGAATAAATGGATGAGCTAAATGATCAGACTGAGAAACTCTTCCAGAAGGCAGAAGTAGAGAATAAAGAAAATAGTTTTAAAAGAGCTAAATGCTATGGAGAATAGAAGTAGAGTGTTCATATCAGGATAACAGGGTTCCCCAGAGAGGGGATTAAAAAAAGAAAAACAGAGAGGAGGAAATAATTGAAGTAATAACGTGGAAACGCTTCTGAGAATTAGAGAAAAAGGTCTCAGATAGAAAGGGCTCATAGAATGCTAAATAGGGTAACTGAGGAAAAAACACATTTAGACTCATTATATTGAAGTGGAAGAAGATGAAATTCAATTAAAACTCTAAACATTTCCAAAAGCAATAGATTGCCTACAAAGGAATTGAGAAGTAGGTCCACTGTGCACTGGTTTCAACCTGTCTGAGTCAAGTTAAACAGAATACACACACACACACACACACACACACACGTTACATGAAGCAGGTTTATTACTTACAGATTGAAAGCAGGGGACAACAGAAGCCTCAGATTCACGGAAGGCTGGTACCCCAAGGCTCAGAAAAGCTGCCCAGGAACTACCAGTCATACTGGATTAGATAAAGAATTAAAAAAGGAAAAAGAAAAGCTGCCCAGGGCAGATGGAGTCTCAGTTACAGGTGCCCCACTTGCATCTCAGCTGAGGGACCCCAAAAAGCAGCCTAAGGCTGGGCACGGTGGCTCACACCTGTAATTCCAGCACTTTAAGAAGCTGAGGCAGGAGGATTGCTTGAGGCCAGCAGTTTGAGACCAGCCTGGGGAATATAATGAGACTCCATCTCTAGAAAATAAAAAACAGGCCAGGCACGGTGGCTCATGCCTATAATCCAACACTTTGGCAGGCCAAGGCAGGTGGATCACCCCGAGGTCAGGAGTTTCAGACCAGCCTGGCCAACATGGTGATACCCCTATCTCTACTGAAAATACAAAAAAAGTAGCTCAATGTGGTAGTGGGCACCAGTAATCCCAGCTACTTGGGAGGCTGAGGCACGAGAATCGCTTGAACATGAGAGACAGAAGTTGCAGTGAGCACAGATCAGGCCACTGCACTCCAGCCTGGGCAACAGAGTGAGACTCTGTCTCAAAAAAAAAAAAAAAAAAAAAAAAAGAGAAAAGAAAAGAAATCAGCTGGGCATGGTGGAACACACCTGTAACCCCAGCTCCTTGGGGGGGGTTAAGTGATCAGATTTCTTGAGCCCAGGAGTTCAAGGCTGCATGAGCCATGATCATGCCACTGCACTCCAGCCTGGACAACACAGCAAGACCCTGTCTCAAAAAACAAAACAAAAAAAGCAGCCTGCCCTGGATTTACACCCCTGGGGCAATGTGACATGCTTGGCTAAAGAGTTGAAGGACATCCTGTTTCTAGGGGTTACTGGAACGGGGCCCAGGCTGTTCACCAGTCCCTCTTTATCTCGGGATGTTGTATCTCAGCACATCCTACAGTTATTCCTGAGCGCTTCAAGTGATAAAGAGGAGATAACTGGATAAGGCCAAGGCCACCTGGAGAACTGTCCCACAGGAACATGAATCAAATTAACATCAGACTTCTCAATAGAAACACTGAATACAAGAAAGTGGTAAGGTTTGTAAGCATTGAAAGAAATTTTAGGCTGGGTGTAGTGGCTCACCCCGGTAATCCCAGGACTTTGGAAGGCTGAGGTGGGAGGATCACCCGAGGTCCAGACCAGCCTAGCCAACACATTGAAACCCCATCTGTACTAAAAATACAAAACTTAGCCAGGCGTGGTGACATGCTCCTGTAATCCTAACTACTCAGGAGACTGAGGCACAAGAATTGCTTGAGCCTGGGAGGCAAAGGTTGCAGTGAGCCAAATTGCACCATTGCACTCCAGCCTGGGAGATAGAGCAAGACTCTGTCTCAGAAAGAAAGAGAGAGAGAGAGAGAAAGAAAGAGAAAATTTCTGTGTAGGCAAATAGTCATTCAAATTTGGAAATATAATAAAAATATTATCGGCCAAGTATGGCGGTTCATGCCTCTAATCTCAGCACTTTGAGAGGCCGAGGCGGGCGGATCACCTGAGGTCAGGAGTTACAGACCAGCCTGGCCAACATGATGAAACCCTGTCTCTACTAAAAATACAAAAGTTAGTTGGGCATGGTGGTGTGTGCCTGTAGTCCCAGCTACTCAGGAGACTGAGGCAAGAGAATTGCTTGAACCCAGGAGGCAGAGGCTGCAGTGAGCCAAGGTCGCACCACTGCACTCCAGCCTGGGCAACAAAGCGAGACTCTATCTCAAAAAAAAAAAAAAAAAAAAAAAATTCTCACATTACAAAAGCCTCAGAATGTTTGTCACACAAAGACCTACATTTAAAATTCTTAAATTATTCAAATAAGAGAAATAAGTTCAAAAGGATAGGATGACGCCTGCAATATAGGAACTAAATGTGGTTAAATGACATCATAAAATCAAATATCAACAAAAGCTAAAGGGGGAAGAGAGAGAAAAAAGAGGTGGAGGAGACAGAAAGAGATAATCAGAATGGAATGATTGGTTGGAGAGTAGAGTCTCTAGTTACTGTGGCAGGTATTTGCAGCTGGATTCTGTCCCATAGATGAGCCGAAGCAAAAGGACCTTCACAGAGAACTTTTATCATCAGCCTGAGGAAAAGCAATCAAAGGACAAGGCCATTGGTTGGGAACTTACACCAAAGAAAAATAACCTGAATTCTAGATACTATGAATACGATGAAAATAAGCAGAAGGGACTGGTGCGGTGGCTCATGCCTGTAATCCCAGCACTTAGGAAGGCCGAGGCAGACGGATCACCTGAGGTCAGGAGTTCAAGACCAGCCTGGCCAACCATGGCCAGCATGGTGAAACCCCATCTCTACTAAAAATGCAAAAATTAGTCAAGCATGGTGGCACACACCTGTAATCCCAGCTACTCAGGAGGCTGAGGCAGAATTGCTTGAACCCAGGAGGTGGAGGTTGCAGTGAGCCAAGATTGCACCACTGCACTTCAGCCTG